ATAACGTTAGCCAATCACTGATACCAAGATGTCCAGGTATGTCGTTGTAACACTTTCTGTCTTTCTTTTCAGGCACATCTGATTGTTTGACTGTAAAAAGAAGATATTTTAAATCTGGTGAAATGAGTAAGTTGTGATTATTTTCTACTGAGTTCCTGGTGCTACTTTTGGCTCCAACTTATTTCACTACCGGGTGTTTGTTTCCACGGTGACATTCTTTAGATGAGGTGACAAGCCACCTACATCTGGACACACCCAGCTCCATTATTAGTTAAGGGACTGGATGACTGCCCATGCAGGAGTTATTCTCATAACAAATATGGCATTTTGTGTGTGAAATAAACACCCGCAGATAAAGCTTTACTCTTGTTTGTTTGTTTATTTAAAGGACAGTGCACATTAATCCACATTGCTGTAAATGAGCCAGTATTAGCCAGCAGGCTAATTTTCTACTGTTGTCCTTGGCAAGATGTTAAATGACCACAACAAGACTAGAGAAATAAAAACATAATTAAATAGAGTACAGCAGACAACAGCAGTACAACAATAAATAGGAACAGCAGTACAACAATAGAGAGGAACAAACAAACATGCAAACAGATGAAATATCATCATACCTTGATACAGTTAAAAGTGTTCATATTTATATTTTAACTTAACAGTTTGCATTTACTGGACAGTAATGCTTTTGTATTTGTTTTATTTATGTCTGCACTATATATATATGCATTAAGCATTTGACACCAAAATAAGAGTTAATGTTAATTAATTGTTTATGGAATTGTATTAAAGCTGAGGTACACTCACTGTCTATACTTCTTACAAGTCTGAACGCTCATCCTATGTTTTGCCCTTTCTTTTAGGCCAAAGTGACCAGTTTCCCCTTGACTGCAAGGTTTATGTTGGGAATCTAGGAAACAATGGAAACAAGACAGAGTTGGAAAGTTCCTTTGGGTACTATGGCCCTTTAAGAAGTGTTTGGGTCGCCAGGAATCCCCCAGGCTTTGCTTTTGTAGAGTTTGAAGACCCCAGAGATGCATCCGATGCTGTGAAAGAACTGGATGGAAGGTAAATCCGTTAACACATTTTTCAGTTGTACTTTTTGCATTACATGTTAGAATTTCTCACTCGTATGATGACTTTTTCTTTAGAACTATGTGTGGCTGCCGAGTGCGTGTCGAGTTATCCAATGGCGAAAAGCGCTCAAGGAGCCGTGGCCATCCTCCGTCCCATGGCGGTAGCAGACGCCCTCGAGATGATTTTAGACGACGTAGTCCTCCAGTCAGACGCAGGTATGGTTTTTCTTTTGGACCACTTTACTCTTTTATTTACTGTCTCATTTGCAGTGTTTTATTTTTTAAACAACTGAAAAAGCATATTTACATTCCCAACACACTGTAACCATTATTTTTGTACCTCCCACACTGACAAATAATCGTATATCTTTATATCATAGACCAATTAAAGCGTAGTCAATCTTTTTAAGCCAAAACCAAGTAGGGGTAAGTTTCTGATCATTTGTCACAATGGCCTAAATGTTATCGTTGGCACTCTTAGTGCTTTAAATCATGTAGTTTACATACAAAATGAGTTCATAAATAGATAATCTGTGAATTGGCCTGCTTCAGGATTTAACATACTGATGTTGCTTTTTAGGTGTTCAAAAACAAATCTACACTAGTGATGCTTTTAAAAGAAATTGTTATTTTTTCTTCCAAAGTATTTTTGTCTTTGCCAGTTTTGCCTAGTTTTACATCCAATTCCAAATGCAGCCTATGTCAGCACTTGACTATTTATGAACTCTAATAACGGGTTGTCTTATAAAAGACCAAGCTCTAACAGAGTGATATTGCTTCAAGGAGCATAGTTTGCACTCCATCAAACATTTTCATAGGTACTTTCTAGAATTACTTTCTTGCAGGTTTACATTTTGTTTTCTTTCTGAGTTCAGTTGCCATATATTAATAAAACTGAACCCCGTTACAGAGTCACCACCACGCTTCTCACCATCTGAGTCAGTCAACTAGTCTTCTTTCAGCATCATGTGACTGCTGACCAGGGAGCCCCAATCAGCTTGGGTGGTGTTGTCACATGACCAAGGCGCACCGCCAGTCGTCAGGTTCCACCAACCTATTGGTTCCTGAGCATGCAGCTCCCAGCATCCTCCTCTTCTTCCTCCAACCTTAATCCAATCGACAGCGGCCCACTTCACATTATCAACCAATCAGCATCTTTACTCTCTATTTGCCACACAACTACTGTATCAACGGGAACAGCCCATGGCTTACATCCCTTCCCATCATCCCCCCCAAAAAAGGCAGGGAAAATCTACAACTACCCCTTCCAACCAGCCACCAAGCAACTTCATATCTCCAACATTTGCATCATGTGGCAAATCCTCTCTGCAATTCGACTTCCCTCACCATCAGTCTGGCTTCCTTGCGTCATTTCTATCTTGTCCAATTCCCCCAAAATAGTAAGTTGCTTTTAATCCTGCTCTTTGTAGTTTTTATGCTTACTCTAACTTTCAAAGGTGCTTGACCGTTTGCCCTCAGCAGTTATGTAACTTAGAGCAAGATCAGTCCAGAGCTGCAAAAATCTACAGATCAAAAGTTGTGGTCAAGGAACTTTGTCATCAGTCTTTAACTTATATTTGCAGATATGAACTACAGTTATTAGAGGTTCACCATATAATTGGGCTACCAAGGGCATTTTCATGGCTCGACATTAAACCACTACCTTTTTTTTTAGGTAAATGTTCCCCCCTTTTTTCCATGAAAATATCCACGCTCCTAAGCCGCGTTCACACCGGAGTACTTTTCCCCGTGCTTTTCGCGTTTAGTTCCGTTAGTACCCCTTATGTCACGTTCACACCAAAAAGAAAACTTAGTGCCGGGAACTTTTACCCCCATTTTTAGTGCCTGCTGAGAGATGGTACTTTCCTGGGGGGAAAAAGTGCCCCAGTTCTGATTGGCTGGGCGAATTGCAAACCACGCCCCGTAAAAAATGTTTTGTAGAGCCGCCATTTTATTATCCTCGCATTAGCATTATTAGCATTAGCATTCGCCCAGCGCACAAACGCAGAGAGACTAACTTATGGCAACACAAAAGAAAACATGGGAGCGGTGGAGTGATGAGGAGGTGTCAGCGTTCTGGCGATTTACTCGGAAGGCTTCAGTAGAAGCTGCTGGGAGTCCCAGCAGCTTCTACTGAAGCCAGTCCCCAACTCCGGGGACTTCCGGCCGGGGTCTCCGGGCGGCAGTATACACCGTGAAGTTGTTTGCGGCCTGCCAGTAAACCCAAAGCAGAAGAAGACGAAGTGACGTCAGCGGCTCATTTGCGTAATCTTCCCTCAGGGAACTTATTCCGGTGTGAACGCGATCTGTAATAAGTGCCCTGGGGTAATAAGTGCCGGCACTAAGTACGGCAAAGTACTTGGTGTGAACGCGGCTCTAGTGTGCTCCAGTGTCTTAATAGAAAAACAAAAACACTTTTAATGTTTTTTTTAACTAAAAATGAAAATGACCCGTCTCTGTTCAGGTCCCCTGTGTGGACCCTCGGAGGTCATTGTGCACAAGCTGTGTGGTGGAAACACAAATCAATAGCAACAGACAGACCATTGTTAAATTGTGACATATTATTTGTTTATGTCAAAGGAAAGCATTAATGTCGAGCCCTGGCTTTGTTCTGAAATCTGGCCCCCCTATTGGTGCTCATTTGACAAAGATTCCTTCTTTATCAAGTTGATCTTGATGCAGTTCATGGATGCAGATGATCCTTCTATTAACAGACAAGGAACTACGTGTAACCACGTGTCATCCGTGTCTAAGGATCAAGAATACCAAAGGTTTCACTAGAAAAAAATCTCTTCCCTAATTTTTTTTTGCTTCATTTTTTACTTCACATACACTATAGGAGGAGGAGCCGCAGTCGCAGCAGGTAAGCGAGTAACAACAGTTTTATTTACACTCTGCTTTTGTTAATAATCAATGATAATCATATTCATTTTTTTATGCTTTGTTGCATCAGGTCTCTTTCAAGAGATAGAGGCAGACAGCGCTCTCTGTCCAGAGACAACAAGAAGGGCCCAAGATCAATCTCCCGGTCAAGGAGGCAAGTTAAAAAAAATCACTATACTTACTACTTTGTACTTTTGAGACTCATTTTGTGAACTAGTTTGTTTGTTTTACAGTCGTTCCAGGTCTAACGACAGAAAATGAGGACCCCAAGGCGATGGTTCGTGTGCGGGATCTAGCTATGGTTGGGGAAAATACCAATTTTTATAGTCATGTCTTTCTTTTCTCTAGGGTTGGCCAAGTTACTTGTGTAATACCAGTCTGTTGAATTAACAACGGTCTGATGTCTTTTTCTCCTAAAGCGAATTCTCTTCCCCCGCATGTTATGAAATGGAGTACTGGATTTAGTTTTTCCATTGCCATCCTGTTTTTTAACTGTTGAATTAAAGCTCATGTGATGTTTTTATTTGTTTTTGTTTCCTTTTTTTATTCTTGGTTGACTCAATTCAATTACTGGCAATGGGTTAATGTGAGACATACCATTAGAGGGGTTTATGTTATGACAGAAATCAGACTGGCAAACAAAATGTTAAATACTGGTGCTGTTATTTGCAGGCTATCCTTGAAGCCAAAAACATAATCTGTAATTCTGTATTTTACTTATGTCATTTTTGCAACAAAATGCTCTATTCAACTTCGCTTGACTCTTGACAATTTGTGCTGCAGTTAAGAAAATGTGTTCAATAAATGGTTTTCCAAGGTCAAGCCTATTTCTTTGTTGCCTTTTTTTGTTTGGAAGTATTAAATATTAAACTAACCATGTACCATAATCAAATGACATTTGGCAAATGTAAAAATATAAGCTTTATTCAGTTCAGGAAGTACCGTTTCTGTTGCCTTATGACATGCAAGTGCAACCCACACAGGAAGTTCTCTGTCATGGCGGCCACAAAGGACAACCCACCCCACCCCCCACGAGTGAAATATATCAACTGTGTAGTGTAGTCACTTTAGAAAGCAGCTCGTGTTGAGAGACGACCGGTGCCAGATTTGGGTGGTGAGTACATGTGGCGTCATGACAATTAAGTAGATTGAGGTTATTGATCAAAATAAACAAATAAAATGTATTTCTGCAGTTTAAAATAAACTAATTGGCTGAACAGTTAGAATTATGGTAGTTAAAGTTAAGATCCTAAATCAATATGCATCTTGATGTTTTGATGAACTTGTTGATCTTTAAGGGTAGATATATTGATATACTGACAATTTGCATGTCTAAATGTTTCATGATTTAAGAGAGAAGAAGGGAAGGTATGTCTGCTCAAAGCGCAAAGAAGAAAAGGCTTGGCTCACGCCGCCGAGGAACAAACCAAAATGAAAAAACTAAGGCTGATGAGTTCCAAATAACGGACAGTACCTCTGAAGATCAACGCCACTTGACCGTAGATAATACTGAATCATTGAAAGTATTAGCTGAACCTGATAATTCACTATATGAAACGAATCCACCTGCATTTTCAGGTAACAGAAGGAAACTGGGGTCTAGTCGCAAAAATAAAGGACACCATGTAAGGGAATATGCAACTGAATCTTGCCATGAAACTAAAGAGGAAGTTAAGGAAACCATTGCAACAAAACAAATGTCACTTACAATGCAACATGTGACACAGGAAGTATTGATTCAAGAGAGTGAGAATATGTCTGCAACACATGAGAGTTGTCTGTATTCAGCTTCCGAACATGATTATTTTCCTGAACTTCAGAATGCTACTATAACAAACTATCCAGAGGCTGACCTGGACAGTGTTATTCCCAAAAGCGAAAATCTGCAAGCACACCTTTATGAAAATGTGACAAACTCTAAAATTGTATCAGACTCCTTTACATTTGTGCAAACCATGGAGGAAAGAGTCAACACATCTGAAACTCTTTACTGCGAGGAAGACAAGGAAAGTGCACACTGTGTAAGCAACTCTGAGTTAACAAGGTTAAGTCTTGCTTCACGTCCAAGTGTAGATCACGCAAATGTTAGGGAAATGTCAGAACAAAAGCTTCCTGATGTGTGTACTGAAAGAGAAAAAGAATGCAAAGAAATAGATGAGACAGAGTTGTTAAGGAAGGATGGAAACTTACAGGGCAATTATTTGGTAAGTGAGTCAGTCGTTTTGCCATTTGCCACCACACCCGAGATAACCACAGAGGAAACCATTCGAAGAGAAAATACTGAAAATGAGTCCAATGATGAGCCGGCTACAATGTCATCACCAAAAGAGGAAATGCTTACAGATGAGGAACAAAATGAGCCTTTCAGTTTGTCAGAACGCAAATGTGCTTATATAATAGAGGATGCCTCAAGCAAACAGCATGAACAGGACTTTAAGCCAGCCAAAATGCATAAAATTGACCACTCACCTCACTCTGAAAATCTGATCCACCAAACTGAAGTCAGAGACACATACCAATCAGAATTGAATGTAAAAAGAAGTGGATATTCTCCAATCAATCAGGAAATGTCAAATCCCGAAGTCAAAGGTTCTCATCAATCAGAGGATGGTGTAAACAAACTGCATGAACAGGAACGAAGGCCAACTGAAATTGAAGATATGCCACAACAAGATAATACATCTGTCAGTGTGATTCATGCTGCCACAGAAAAGTCTGAAATAATTTCTTGTAACCCAATGGACCCAAATGAAATCAGAGACACAAACCAATGTGAGAATGTTGTGAAAATAACTTGTGATTCTCCTACCTATCAGGACATTTCAATTCCTGACAACAAGCAGGATGAGTATCTTAATGAAGAAAGCATTTTTGAGGATTTAGAGCAGACAAATGAGGATCATCATGTCTCTGATACCAAGGAACCACCGATCAGCGACATTGAAGGAGTAGACTCTGCTCTAGGTCAGGTGAAGGAGATTGAAGGCCAAGTACAGTATGATATGAAACCCAGTGCTGAACCAAAGGGTCACGAGGAAGGACTTTTCTCTGTAATGGAGGAGGGTGAATCCTGTTCACAAGCTGTGCAATCAGGAATAACTGTGACTTCTGACTCCCAACCACAACAAAACATTGACTTTAACCCCATTGGGAACAGAAGAAAACTGGGGTCTAGCCGTAGAAATAAAGGAAGACAGCATGTCAAGGACTCTGTTAATGAATTGTACCATGAACCTACAGGGGAAGATTCTGGAAACGCCAGGGAAAATAAATCTCTTGAAACAGAATTGTCATTACAGATAGAGCCAGTAGTGCAGGAACAAACAAAGGAAACCATGTTGAAGGGAATGGAAATATTTGACACTGCTCCAACTGATGTTGGTGAGCTTGTTAAAGACAATTCACTTGTTGGCATCTCTGAGCTTACTGGTTCAAATGTACATGCACGTTTAACAGAAGATCAAAAGACAAATGTCCAATCAAATGTTGGGGAGATGCCAGAGGAAGAATTCCCAAATGTTTGTACCGTAACAGAAAAAGAAAGCATGGAAAATGACAATGTCACAGAAATGTTCAGGCACGGTGAAAATGTACAGACCAACTATTTGATGAGTGAGTCTCAGGTAACAACAGAAACTAATGAGTCCTCTATCACATCAGAGATAACCACAGAAGAACAAGACCTCAGAGAGAACACAGAACCTGAATGCAGTGTTGAACAAGAAGCATTTGCCTCATCAAAAGAGGAGTCTACAACAATTGAGGAAACACATGAGTTGTTCAATGTATCTGAAGTCAAAGGTGCTCATCAGTCAGATGATGGTGATAACAAACTCCATGAACAGGAGGTTAAGCCAACAGAAATTCAAGAAATATCTCAAATAGATTTCTCATCTGACCATGCGATTCATGTTGTCTCAGATAAATCTGAAATAATTTCTGGTAACACAATGGACCAAACTGAAAGCAGAGAGACAAACCAATGTGAGATTGTTGTGAAAATACCTGATGATTCTCATACCAGTCAGAAAATGTCACTTCTTCGCAACAAGCAGGATGAGTATCTTAATGAAGAAAGCATTTTTGAGGATTTAGAGCAGAAAAATGAGGATCATCATGTCTCTGATACCAAGGAACCACCGATCAGCGACATTGAAGGAGTAGACTCTGCTCTAGGTCAGGTGAAGGAGATTGAAGGCCAAGTACAGTATGATATGAAACCCAGTGCTGAACCAAAGGGTCATGAGGAAGGACTTTTCTCTGTAATGGAGGAGGGTGAATCCTGTTCACAAGCTGTGCAATCAGGAATAACTGTGACTTCTGACTCCCAACCACAACAAAACATTGACTTTAACCCCATTGGGAACAGAAGAAAACTGGGGTCCAGCCGTAGAAATAAAGGAAGACAGCATGTCAAGGACTCTGTTGCTGAATTGTACCATGAACCTACAGGGGAAGATTCTGGAAACACCAGGGAAAATAAATCTCTTGAAACAGAATTGTCATTACAGATAGAGCCAGTAGTGCAGGAACAAACAAAGGAAACCATGTTGAAGGGAATGGAAATATTTGACACTGCTCCAACTGATGTTGGTGAGCTTGTTAAAGACAATTCACTTGTTGGCATCTCTGAGCTTACTGGTTCAAATGTACATGCACGTTTAACAGAAGATCAAAAGACAAATGTCCAATCAAATGTTGGGGAGATGCCAGAGGAAGAATTCCCAAATGTTTGTACCGTAACAGAAAAAGAAAGCATGGAAAATGACAATGTCACAGAAATGTTCAGGCACGGTGAAAATGTACAGACCAACTATTTGATGAGTGAGTCTCAGGTAACAACAGAAACTAATGAGTCCTCTATCACATCAGAGATAACCACAGAAGAACAAGACCTCAGAGAGAACTCAGAACCTGAATGCAGTGTTGAACAAGAAGCATTTGCCTCATCAAAAGAGGAGTCTACAACAATTGAGGAAACACATGAGTTGTTCAATGTATCTGAAGTCGATGGTGATAATAAACTCCATGAACAGGAGGTTAATGCAACAGAAATTCAAGAAATACCTCAAATAGATTTCTCATCTGACCATGCGATTCATGCTGCCACAGAAAATTCTCAAATAATTTCTGGTAACACAATGGACCAAACTGAAATCAGAGAGACAAACCAATGTGAGATGGTTGTGAAAATACCTGATGATTCTCATACCAGTCAGAAAATGTCAGTTCTTGACAACAAGCAGGATGAGTATCTTAATGAAGAAAGCATTTTTGAGGATTTAGAGCAGACAAATGAGGATCATCATGTCTCTGATACCAAGGAACCACCGATCAGCGACATTGAAGGAGTAGACTCTGCTCTAGGTCAGGTGAAGGAGATTGAAGGCCAAGTACAGTATGATATGAAACCCAGTGCTGAACCAAAGGGTCGTGAGGAAGGACTTTTCTCTGAAATGGAGGAGGGTGAATCCTGTTCACAAGCTGTGCAATCAGGAATAACTGTGACTTCTGACTCCCATCCACAACAAAACATTGACTTTAACCCCATTGGGAACAGAAGAAAACTGGGGTCTAGCCGTAGAAATAAAGGAAGACAGCATGTCAAGGACTCTGTTGCTGAATTGTACCATGAACCTACAGGGGAAGATTCTGGAAACACCAGGGAAAATAAATCTCTTGAAACAGAATTGTCATTACAGATAGAGCCAGTAGTGCAGGAACAAACAAAGGAAACCATGTTGAAGGGAATGGAAATATTTGACACTGCTCCAACTGATGTTGGTGAGCTTGTTAAAGACAATTCACTTGTTGGCATCTCTGAGCTTACTGGTTCAAATGTACATGCACGTTTAACAGAAGTTCAAAAGACAACTGTCCAATCAAATGTTGGGGAGATGCCAGAGGAAGAATTCCCAAATGTTTGTACCGTAACAGAAAAAGAAAGCATGGAAAATGACAATGTCACAGAATTGTTCAGGCACGCTGAAAATGTACAGACCAACTATTTGGTGAGTGAGTCTCAGGTAAGAACAGCAAATAATGAGTCCTCTATCACATCAGAGATAACCACAGAAGAACAAGACCTCAGAGAGAACTCAGAACCTGAACAAGAAGCATTTGCCTCATCAAAAGAGGAGTCTACAACAATTGAGGAAACACATGAGTTGTTCAATGTATCTGAAGTCGATGGTGATAATAAACTCCATGAACAGGAGGTTAATGCAACAGAAATTCAAGAAATACCTCAAATAGATTTCTCATCTGACCATGCGATTCACGCTGCCACAGAAAATTCTCAAATAATTTCTGGTAACACAATGGACCAAACTGAAATCAGAGAGACAAACCAATGTGAGATGGTTGTGAAAATACCTGATGATTCTCCTACCAGTCAGAAAATGTCAGTTCTTGACAACAAGCAGGATGAGTATCTTAATGAAGAAAGCATTTTTGAGGATTTAGAGCAGACAAATGAGGATCATCATGTCTCTGATACCAAGGAACCACCGATCAGCGACATTGAAGGAGTAGACTCTGCTCTAGGTCAGGTGAAGGAGATTGAAGGCCAAGTACAGTATGATATGAAACCCAGTGCTGAACCAAAGGGTCGTGAGGAAGGACTTTTCTCTGAAATGGAGGAGGGTGAATCCTGTTCACAAGCTGTGCAATCAGGAATAACTGTGACTTCTGACTCCCAACCACAACAAAACATTGACTTTAATCCCATTGGGAACAGAAGAAAACTGGGGTCTAGCCGTAGAAATAAAGGAAGACAGCATGTCAAGGACTCTGTTGCTGAATTGTACCATGAACCTACAGGGGAAGATTCTGGAAACACCAGGGGAAATAAATCTCTTGAAACAGAATTGTCATTACAGATAGAGCCAGTAGTGCAGGAACAAACAAAGGAAACCATGTTGAAGGGAATGGAAATATTTGACACTGCTCCAACTGATGTTGGTGAGCTTGTTAAAGAAAATTCACTTGTTGGCATCTCTGAGCTTACTGGTTCAAATGTACATGCACGTTTAACAGAAGATCAAAAGACAAATGTCCAATCAAATGTTGGGGAGATGCCAGAGGAAGAATTCCCAAATGTTTGTACTGTAACAGAAAAAGAAAGCATGGAAAATGACAATGTCACAGAAATGTTCAGGCACGGTGAAAATGTACAGACCAACTATTTGATGAGTGAGTCTCAGGTAACAACAGCAAATAATGAGTCCTCTATCACATCAGAGATAACCACAGAAGAACAAGACCTCAGAGAGAACACAGAACCTGAATGCAGTGTTGAACAAGAAGCATTTGCCTCATCAAAAGAGGAGTCTACAACAATTGAGGAAACACATGAGTTGTTCAATGTATCTGAAGTCGATGGTGATAACAAACTCCATGAACAGGAGGTTAATGCAACAGAAATTCAAGAAATACCTCAAATAGATTTCTCATCTGACCATGCGATTCATGCTGCCACAGAAAATTCTCAAATAATTTCTGGTAACACAATGGACCAAACTGAAATCAGAGAGAGAAACCAATGTGAGATGGTTGTGAAAATACCTGATGATTCTCCTACCAGTCAGAAAATGTCAGTTCTTGACAACAAGCAGGATGAGTATCTTAATGAAGAAAGCATTTTTGAGGATTTAGAGCAGACAAATGAGGATCATCATGTCTATGATACCAAGGAACCACCGATCAGCGACATTGAAGGAGTAGACTCTGCTCTAGGTCAGGTGAAGGAGATTGAAGGCCAAGTACAGTATGATATGAAACCCAGTGCTGAACCAAAGGGTCATGAGGAAGGACTTTTCTCTGAAATGGAGGAGGGTGAATCCTGTTCACAAGCTGTGCAATCAGGAATAACTGTGACTTCTGACTCCCAACCACAACAAAACATTGACTTTAACCCCATTGGGAACAGAAGAAAACTGGGGTCTAGCCGTAGAAATAAAGGAAGACAGCATGTCAAGGACTCTGTTGCTGAATTGTACCATGAACCTACAGGGGAAGATTCTGGAAACGCCAGGGAAAATAAATCTCTTGAAACAGAATTGTCATTACAGATAGAGCCAGTAGTGCAGGAACAAACAAAGGAAACCATGTTGAAGGGAATGGAAATATTTGACACTGCTCCAACTGATGTTGGTGAGCTTGTTAAAGACAATTCACTTGTTGGCATCTCTGAGCTTACTGGTTCAAATGTACATGCACGTTTAACAGAAGATCAAAAGACAAATGTCCAATCAAATGTTGGGGAGATGCCAGAGGAAGAATTCCCAAATGTTTGTACTGTAACAGAAAAAGAAAGCATGGAAAATGACAATGTCACAGAATTGTTCAGGCACGCTGAAAATGTACAGACCAACTATTTGATGAGTGAGTCTCAGGTAACAACAGAAAATAATGAGTCCTCTATCACATCAGAGATAACCACAGAAGAACAAGACCTCAGAGAGAACTCAGAACCTGAATGCAGTGTTGAACAAGAAGCATTTGCCTCATCAAAAGAGGAGTCTACAACAATTGAGGAAACACATGAGTTGTTCAATGTATCTGAAGTCAAAGGTGCTCATCAGTCAGATGATGGTGATAACAAACTCCATGAACAGGAGGTTAAGCCAACAGAAATTCAAGAAATACCTCAAATAGATTTCTCATCTGACCATGCGATTCATGTTGTCTCAGATAAATCTGAAATCATTTCTGGTAACACAATGGACCAAACTGAAATCAGAGAGACAAACCAATGTGAGATGGTTGTGAAAATACCTGATGATTCTCCTACCAGTCAGAAAATGTCACTTCTTCGCAACAAGCAGGATGAGTATCTTATTGAAGAAAGCATTTTTGAGGATTTAGAGCAGACAAATGAGGATCATCATGTCTATGATACCAAGGAACCACCGATCAGCGACATTGAAGGAGTAGACTCTGCTCTAGGTCAGGTGAAGGAGATTGAAGGCCAAGTACAGTATGATATGAAACCCAGTGCTGAACCAAAGGGTCGTGAGGAAGGACTTTTCTCTGAAATGGAGGAGGGTGAATCCTGTTCACAAGCTGTGCAATCAGGAATAACTGTGACTTCTGACTCCCAACCACAAACAAAACATTGACTTTAACCCCATTGGGAACAGAAGAAAACTGGGGTCTAGCCGTAGAAATAAAGGAAGACAGCATGTCAAGGACTCTGTTGCTGAATTGTACCATGAACCTACAGGGGAAGATTCTGGAAACACCAGGGAAAATAAATCTCTTGAAACAGAATTGTCATTACAGATAGAGCCAGTAGTGCAGGAACAAACAAAGGAAACCATGTTGAAGGGAATGGAAATATTTGACACTGCTCCAACTGATGTTGGTGAGCTTGTTAAAGACAATTCACTTGTTGGCATCTCTGAGCTTACTGGTTCAAATGTACATGCACGTTTAACAGAAGTTCAAAAGACAACTGTCCAATCAAATGTTGGGGAGATGCCAGAGGAAGAATTCCCAAATGTTTGTACTGTAACAGAAAAAGAAAGCATGGAAAATGACAATGTCACAGAAATGTTCAGGCACGCTGAAAATGTACAGACCAACTATTTGGTGAGTGAGTCTCAGGTAACAACAGCAAATAATGAGTCCTCTATCACATCAGAGATAACCACAGAAGAACAAGACCTCAGAGAGAACTCAGAACCTGAATGCAGTGTTGAACAAGAAGCATTTGCCTCATCAAAAGAGGAGTCTACAACAATTGAGGAAACACATGAGTTGTTCAATGTATCTGAAGTCAAAGGTGCTCATCAGTCAGATGATGGTGATAACAAACTCCATGAACAGGAGGTTAAGCCAACAGAAATTCAAGAAATACCTAAAATAGATTTCTCATCTGACCATGCGATTCATGTTGTCTCAGATAAATCTGAAATAATTTCTGGTAACACAATGGACCAAACTGAAATCAGAGAGACAAACCAATGTGAGATTGTTGTGAAAATACCTGATGATTCTCATACCAGTCAGAAAATGTCACTTCTTCGCAACAAGCAGGATGAGTATCTTAATGAAGAAAGCATTTTTGAGGATTTAGAGCAGACAAATGAGGATCATCATGTCTCTGATACCAAGGAACCACCGATCAGCGACATTGAAGGAGTAGACTCTGCTCTAGGTCAGGTGAAGGAGATTGAAGGCCAAGTACAGTATGATATGAAACCCAGTGCTGAACCAAAGGGTCGTGAGGAAGGACTTTTCTCTGAAATGGAGGAGGGTGAATCCTGTTCACAAGCTGTGCAATCAGGAATAACTGTGACTTCTGACTCCCAACCACAACAAAACATTGACTTTAACCCCATTGGGAACAGAAGAAAACTGGGGTCTAGCCGTAGAAATAAAGGAAGACAGCATGTCAAGGACTCTGTTGCTGAATTGTACCATGAACCTACAGGGGAAGATTCTGGAAACGCCAGGGGAAATAAATCTCTTGAAACAGAATTGTCATTACCAATAGAGTCAGTAGTGCAGGAACAAACAAAGGAAACCATGTTGAAGGGAATGGAAATATTTGACACTGCTCCAACTGATGTTGGTGAGCTTGTTAAAGAAAATTCACTTGTTGGCATCTCTGAGCTTACTGGTTCAAATGTACATGCACGTTTAACAGAAGATCAAAAGACAAATGTCCAATCAAATGTTGGGGAGATGCCAGAGGAAGAATTCCCAAATGTTTGTACTGTAACAGAAAAAGAAAGCATGGAAAATGACAATGTCACAGAATTGTTCAGGCACGGTGAAAATGTACAGACCAACTATTTGGTGAGTGAGTCTCAGGTAACAACAGAAAATAATGAGTCCTCTATCACATCAGAGATAACCACAGAAGAACAAGACCTCAGAGAGAACTCAGAACCTGAACAAGAAGCATTTGCCTCATCAAAAGAGGAGTCTACAACAATTGAGGAAACACATGAGTTGTTCAATGTATCTGAAGTCGATGGTGATAATAAACTCCATGAACAGGAGGTTAATGCAACAGAAATTCAAGAAATACCTCAAATAGATTTCTCATCTGACCATGCGATTCATGCTGCCACAGAAAATTCTCAAATAATTTCTGGTAACACAATGGACCAAACTGAAATCAGAGAGACAAACCAATGTGAGATGGTTGTGAAAATACCTGATGATTCTCCTACCAGTCAGAAAATGTCAGTTCTTGACAACAAGCAGGATGAGTATCTTAATGAAGAAAGCATTTTTGAGGATTTAGAGCAGACAAATGAGGATCATCATGTCTCTGATACCAAGGAACCACCGATCAGCGACATTGAAGGAGTAGACTCTGCTCTAGGTCAGGTGAAGGAGATTGAAGGCCAAGTACAGTATGATATGAAACCCAGTGCTGAACCAAAGGGTCATGAGGAAGGACTTTTCTCTGAAATGGAGGAGGGTGAATCCTGTTCACAAGCTGTGCAATCAGGAATAACTGTGACTTCTGACTCCCAACCACAACAAAACATTGACTTTAACCCCATTGGGAACAGAAGAAAACTGGGGTCCAGCCGTAGAAATAAAGGAAGACAGCATGTCAAGGACTCTGTTGCTGAATTGTACCATGAACCTACAGGGGAAGATTCTGGAAACACCAGGGAAAATAAATCTCTTGAAACAGAATTGTCATTACAGATAGAGCCAGTAGTGCAGGAACAAACAAAGGAAACCATGTTGAAGGGAATGGAAATATTTGACACTGCTCCAACTGATGTTGGTGAGCTTGTTAAAGAAAATTCACTTGTTGGCATCTCTGAGCTTACTGGTTCAAATGTACATGCACGTTTAACAGAAGATCAAAAGACAAATGTCCAATCAAATGTTGGGGAGATGCCAGAGGAAGAATTCCCAAATGTTTGTACCGTAACAGAAAAAGAAAGCATGGAAAATGACAATGTCACAGAATTGTTCAGGCACGGTGAAAATGTACAGACCAACTATTTGATGAGTGAGTCTCAGATAACAACAGAAAATAATGAGTCCTCTATCACATCAGAGATAACCACAGAAGAACAAGACCTCAGAGAGAACTCAGAACCTGAATGCAGTGTTGAACAAGAAGCATTTGCCTCATCAAAAGAGGAGTCTACAACAATTGAGGAAACACATGAGTTGTTCAATGTATCTGAAGTCGATGGTGATAATAAACTCCATGAACAGGAGGTTAATGCAACAGAAATTCAAGAAATACCTAAAATAGATTTCTCATCTGACCATGCGATTCATGCTGCCACAGAAAATTCTCAAATAATTTCTGGTAACACAATGGACCAAACTGAAATCAGAGAGACAAACCAATGTGAGATTGTTGTGAAAATACCTGATGATTCTCATACCAGTCAGAAAATGTCACTTCTTCGCAACAAGCAGGATGAGTATCTTAATGAAGAAAGCATTTTTGAGGATTTAGAGCAGAAAAATGAGGATCATCATGTCTCTGATACCAAGGAACCACCGATCAGCGACATTGAAGGAGTAGACTCTGCTCTAGGTCAGGTGAAGGAGATTGAAGGCCAAGTACAGTATGATATGAAACCCAGTGCTGAACCAAAGGGTCACGAGGAAGGACTTTTCTCTGAAATGGAGGAGGGTGAATCCTGTTCACAAGCTGTGCAATCAGGAATAACTGTGACTTCTGACTCCCAACCACAACAAAACATTGACTTTAACCCCATTGGGAACAGAAGAAAACTGGGGTCCAGCCGTAGAAATAAAGGAAGACAGCATGTCAAGGACTCTGTTGCTGAATTGTACCATGAACCTACAGGGGAAGATTCTGGAAACACCAGGGAAAATAAATCTCTTGAAACAGAATTGTCATTACCAATAGAGCCAGTAGTGCAGGAACAAACAAAGGAAACCATGTTGAAGGGAATGGAAATATTTGACACTGCTCCAACTGATGTTGGTGAGCTTGTTAAAGACAATTCACTTGTTGGCATCTCTGAGCTTACTGGTTCAAATGTACATGCACGTTTAACAGAAGACCAAAAGACAAATGTCCAATCAAATGTTGGGGAGATGCCAGAGGAAGAATTCCCAAATGTTTGTACCGTAACAGAAAAAGAAAGCATGGAAAATGACAATGTCACAGAATTGTTCAGGCACGGTGAAAATGTACAGACCAACTATTTGATGAGTGAGTCTCAGGTAACAACAGAAACTAATGAGTCCTCTATCACATCAGAGATAACCACAGAAGAACAAGACCTCAGAGAGAACACAGAACCTGAATGCAGTGTTGAACAAGAAGCATTTGCCTCATCAAAAGAGGAGTCTACAACAATTGAGGAAACACATGAGTTGTTCAATGTATCTGAAGTCAAAGGTGCTCATCAGTCAGATGATGGTGATAACAAACTCCATGAACAGGAGGTTAAGCCAACAGAAATTCAAGAAATACCTCAAATAGATTTCTCATCTGACCATGCGATTCATGTTGTCTCAGATAAATCTGAAATAATTTCTGGTAACACAATGGACCAAACTGAAATCAGAGAGACAAACCAATGTGAGATTGTTGTGAAAATACCTGATGATTCTCATACCAGTCAGAAAATGTCACTTCTTCGCAACAAGCAGGATGAGTATCTTAATGAAGAAAGCATTTTTGAGGATTTAGAGCAGACAAATGAGGATCATCATGTCTCTGATACCAAGGAACCACCGATCAGCGACATTGAAGGAGTAGACTCTGCTCTAGGTCAGGTGAAGGAGATTGAAGGCCAAGTACAGTATGATATGAAACCCAGTGCTGAACCAAAGGGTCACGGGGAAGGACTTTTCTCTGAAATGGAGGAGGGTGAATCCTGTTCACAAGCTGTGCAATCAGGAATAACTGTGACTTCTGACTCCCAACCACAACAAAACATTGACTTTAACCCCATTGGGAACAGAAGAAAACTGGGGTCTAGCCGTAGAAATAAAGGAAGACAGCATGTCAAGGACTCTGTTGCTGAATTGTACCATGAACCTACAGGGGAAGATTCTGGATACACCAGGGGAAATAAATCTCTTGAAACAGAATTGTCATTACAGATAGAGCCAGTAGTGCAGGAACAAACAAAGGAAACCATGTTGAAGGGAATGGAAATATTTGACACTGCTCCAACTGATGTTGGTGAGCTTGTTAAAGACAATTCACTTGTTGGCATCTCTGAGCTTACTGGTTCAAATGTACATGCACGTTTAACAGAAGATCAAAAGACAAATGTCCAATCAAATGTTGGGGAGATGCCAGAAGAAGAATTCCCAAATGTTTGTACCGTAACAGAAAAAGAAAGCATGGAAAATGACAATGTCACAGAAATGTTCAGGCACGGTGAAAATGTACAGACCAACTATTTGATGAGTGAGTCTCAGGTAACAACAGAAACTAATGAGTCCTCTATCACATCAGAGATAACCACAGAAGAACAAGACCTCAGAGAGAACTCAGAACCTGAACAAGAAGCATTTGCCTCATCAAAAGAGGAGTCTACAACAATTGAGGAAACACATGAGTTGTTCAATGTATCTGAAGTCAAAGGTGCTCATCAGTCAGATGATGGTGATAACAAACTCCATGAACAGGAGGTTAAGCCAACAGAAATTCAAGAAATACCTCAAATAGATTTCTCATCTGACCATGCGATTCATGTTGTCTCAGATAAATCTGAAATAATTTCTGGTAACACAATGGACCAAACTGAAAGCAGAGAGACAAACCAATGTGAGATTGTTGTGAAAATACCTGATGATTCTCATACCAGTCAGAAAATGTCACTTCTTCGCAACAAGCAGGATGAGTATCTTAATGAAGAAAGCATTTTTGAGGATTTAGAGCAGACAAATGAGGATCATCATGTCTATGATACCAAGGAACCACCGATCAGCGACATTGAAGGAGTAGACTCTGCTCTAGGTCAGGTGAAGGAGATTGAAGGCCAAGTACAGTATGATATGAAATCCAGTGCTGAACCAAAGGGTCGTGAGGAAGGACTTTTCTCTGAAATGGAGGAGGGTGAATCCTGTTCACAAGCTGTGCAATCAGGAATAACTGTGACTTCTGACTCCCAACCACAACAAAACATTGACTTTAACCCCATTGGGAACAGAAGAAAACTGGGGTCTAGCCGTAGAAATAAAGGAAGACAGCATGTCAAGGACTCTGTTGCTGAATTGTACCATGAACCTACAGGGGAAGATTCTGCAAACACCAGGGGAAATAAATCTCTTGAAACAGAATTGTCATTACAGATAGAGCCAGTAGTGCAGGAACAAACAAAGGAAACCATGTTGAAGGGAATGGAAATATTTGACACTGCTCCAACTGATGTTGGTGAGCTTGTTAAAGACAATTCACTTGTTGGCATCTCTGAGCTTACTGGTTCAAATGTACATGCACGTTTAACAGAAGATCAAAAGACAAATGTCCAATCAAATGTTGGGGAGATGCCAGAGGAAGAATTCCCAAATGTTTGTACTGTAACAGAAAAAGAAAGCATGGAAAATGACAATGTCACAGAAATGTTCAGGCACGGTGAAAATGTACAGACCAACTATTTGATAAGTGAGTCTCAGGTAACAACAGCAAATAATGAGTCCTCTATCACATCAGAGATAACCACAGAAGAACAAGACCTCAGAGAGAACTCAGAACCTGAATGCACCACAAACCCCACAGGGAACAGAAGGAAATTTGGATCAAGCAGAAGAAACAAAGGACCACTGCACATCAAGGACACTACAAGAATGTCATTAGTAACAGAGACAATAAAGCAGGAAGAATTAAAAAAGAAGTCCGACCTAGATTTAAGTTCAAACGTAAGTGACGAAGAAAACACAGACATTTTCTTGCAGGAAGGCATCATTTTGTCACAGAATGAGAAGGACAACAGTGCATTTATGAAAACAGACATTGATTTAAGCCCTAGCAATGATGTATTTGTCAACTCCAATAAGGATGTTGATGAGGAACAAAATAAACAAAAGAAAGAGACTGAAAATGTATGCCAGCTTGGAGGATGTGACACAGTTAAAACAGACTTGACGCAACCACCAGAAGTCTCAGTTTGGAAAGCTGATTCAGACATACAAACTATCTCATACCATGGTGACAATGTCTCCTCACGGCCAATTGCTTTTGATGTTCTTGAGCAAGAAGAGACTTTTCAATTCCAAAGCTCTGAAGCTTTATCTTGTGACAAAGACATTAATGTGCAACAGACAAATGATACATCACCAACTGTGCGCGATGTCACAGTAAAATACTTTAAATCAGGACCGGAGAGTTCAATGTACATGCAAGTTTCTAACCAGGATGCAGATGGAGAACAATCAGAGGATCCTTTAAAGTCGGAACACAAAGCCCAAGAAATTAATATTTCAGAAAAGATCACAAAGAACAAAACCTTGGCTCCATTTCACACAGGTCTTGAGGAAAACTTCAGAGCAGAACCAGCTGTGAATATGTTTGAGGAAAGTGAGATTTCCAGCCATCTAAAGGAACAAGAAGAATCTCATTCAGACAACAGTGAAAATGTGCAGGGAAGATCGAAACAGAAGAGGAGAAAGATGGGCTCTACTCGCCGGGCTCAACTCAATAGGAAACCAGAGGAAAAGAGTGATGAAAGAGAAAGTGACTTTAAAACAGAAGCTGACATGAGACATCTTGAAAAGATAGAAGGACTGGAAGAGTTACCTATGATTATGACTGCAAAGGTATCACAGAGTGAACATGCAAAAGCATCACAAAGTCCAATGAATAAAGAACAAGAAGCCAATGAAACCAGCACAGTGCACAACAACAGACAAAACATACCAAGCTCTGACTTGCAAGTTGTTAATCCTGCTATATTTGTTCATGTAGCTGATGAAAGGGAGAGTGAGAGGAATTTAAATGTTTGTGTGGAACCACCACAGATAGATGATTTCACAACCACTGAGAGACAAATCCCCAGTCCGTTACTGTCTGAAAATACTGAAGAGAATAGAAACACAGTTATCATAGGAGAGAGCTTTGTGTCTTTATGTGAGATCACACAGAGTATGCAAAATGATGAGGAAAGTGTAAGCATAATTGAGGACCAGACTATGAAATCAGCCGACGCGCCTGTTGTGGCAGATTTGGAAATATTGACATATGTGGTAAGAGAAGGAGCAGAACATGAACATATCAGTGCCCAGTTTAGTAAACAACAGTTGGACAACCCCACTGAAGAAGTTGCGAATAAAATTATAGAGATGAAGAATCCAAGTCCAAACAGGAGGAAAAAGATGGGCTCAACCCGCAGGAATTTTGGATCAAGACACAAAAGGGAAGACTTGCATCAAGAACAGGATGTGGATAATGAAGCAACAGAGACTGCATCCAATGTTGGAGATGTGAAGACTGAACTTTTCTCCAACATCACAGAAGATGAGCTTCAGCTTAACTTAAAACACAAAGACACGGGCTCTGAGCAAAGGAAAGAAAACTTATTTGAAACAGTGGAGTACAGCCAGATTGGTGACTCTCACATTAAACCTCACCAGCCATTGGAAGATAATCCTGTTCCTCCTGGTCAACTCATAGAAACAGAGCATCAACGTACTCCCAATTCTTTTGCTGCAATACCTTCCACTTCCCCAAAAGAAGATTTAATGTCAGAAACAGCTTCTGGTGGGAGAAGAAGAAAAATGGGATCTAGCAGGAAGTCACATGGACTCAAAAGATATGAAAACCAAACCGCAAGTGGAGACAAAATACAAGATACACAACATGAGAGAGATGTCAGAAGTAATACAGATGAAAGTGCCATCAAGACACCTGAAGAGCTGAGAGAAGAATCTTTGAGCCTGGTCCAAATATCAGAGGTAAGCAGCAGAGTCATTTTGATCTTTAGCTTTGAGTGTTTACAAGTTATCATCCGATCCTTAGTGTACTTTCTAAACATTGCTTTATCATGTATTTTTTTACGTTGGGCCTTTATCTTGAAGTGAATTAATGGACATTTGTTATTTGTTATTACAGTTATTGTATGTCGTGTCGTGCTGTTATTCCTGTTTGCATAAATCCTCTTGCACACTGGTCAAGTGTTTGTTTTGAGAACAACATGACACAGTGAAATAAAATGAGGACATGCGGTCTACACGACATGTTTCACATTCTGAAAAGGAGAACATAAAGCTGTATCATGTGCCTTGATCTTAATGGTGGGCTGTAGCATTTAGCTGCTTTTTATTGACTTCTAACAACATAGAGGCCTCATAAAAACGATCTTACTTGTACGTCACATTTATGAAAAATGCATATATATATAAAAGCCCTGTTATTGTTCCTTTCTATAAAATGTAATTCTCCTATTTGTATCAATACATTGTTGGACAAATAATATAAATTCCTCACATTCTTAAAATATCCTGTAAAACTTCATGCTTCACTTTCTGTGTGCTAGAGGATTATTTCTGGAAAACCTGTCAAAAACGTTTGGATGAGCGGATATTATAATTACAAATGAAGATTCTCTTTTGTCTTTGTGAAACAAAACAGAAAACAATGTACTTATTATCAAAATGCCATATATTGAATATGAGATCTACATTCAAAATCAAATCTGCCCTGCTGTCACCTTGTGATTGGGATTCTTTTGTCTGTGCAGGCAGGTAAAAGTGAGAAGAAACCATCGAACATCAGCATCTCAAAGGAAGAAATTGCCCCAAGGACTGTGAGGTAAGTCTGGCGCTGAGGAACAGAGATATAAAAGACCCTCCAAAGGCTTGTTGATCTGATGAGCTAAAAACAGCAGTTATGATCTTCCTGAAAAACTACCAGATATGAAGCTTCATTCATATCAACATGGTTCAAATTGTAACTGTGTTAAAGTACACATGAATAATTTAATTTACAAGCACATTAGATCTCAATAAGTATATATGCACAGCATTGAAAAATCACCTATAACCTAAAATATATATATATTGTAAGAGTTTTCCAAACGTTACTGAACAAGATCAGTTTAATTCTGTTACACTAACTTTTTCCTTTCCAACATTGTGAGACCATAGAGTTGAATTGTAAGCGGTTAGCATTCAGAACAAAGACACATAATCAGTATCCTGTTATCAATTCAAAATGAAACCTTAAATAGAACTGTTGAAGTCGTGTTTCCTCTGAATCATCTACACTGATCTTCATGCACAGAGAATCTGCAGTAGGCCACAAACTCCATACGAGCAGGTTTGAGTCATCAGTACAGTGGCAACATTGTTGAGTTGCATTTAGCTTCATAACAGGCTGATAAGAAGTCCGGAGTAATAAGAATAAAAGGAAAAGCAAACACATAAGTTAAAGATTTACTTTTTGAAAGCCAGCTAATGGAGGACAGACACAGGGACAGGGCTCAGGAGTATAATGTAGGGTGGATGTTATTATTGTGTGTTCAGTTGTAGGCATGTAAATTGAGAAGTCGGTTTTCTAGGCTTGTCAATTATTCAGGTGTGCTTTTCCTGGAGGGATGTATTTTTAACATGTCTGCTACTGCTTCTAACATGTCTGCTATTTGCGTTTCTTTTGTGATTTGCCTAATGTTTTGCTCAAATTCCTTCAATCCAAGATAGCTTCCTATGACAATGAAAGAAACCTTGACCACATCCTTAGTGTATCCACTTCTAATATTAGTCAATGTGATGATTCATTTGGGGATGCTGATGTCTGAACATTTAAAATGTGAATAACTTTTAGTATGCTGATCTTTTTCTGTGTGTTGTTTAAAGTCGTTATTGTTGTCTGTTCAACAGTGAGAAGACGGTTCAACATCTTTATGCTGAAGTCGAGCTGAGCCAACAGAAGTTTTCTCTGGGTGAACAGAGCATTAATACTTACACACAGCTGCTAAAGATAATGAGAGAGGGAAGTTTAATATGGAGATAAATAAATATAATGTGTGACCAATAATGTTTTTGTTTTCAGAGGGTCATTCCAGAATAGCAGATCATAAAGCAAATGCTTACAATGTGATGATGGTTGGAGACAGCAGCGTGGGAAAAACCTCCTTCATGAAAAGAGCTCAGAGTGGAAAGTTTTCTTTAGATTTACCCGCCTCAGTTGGTAAGATCTGATCTTCATACTACTTTAATAACATGAATGTGTGTAAATATACAAAATAATGTAACATATACACATTTTGTAGGAATTGATTCCTGCATGTGGACTGTGGTAGTGGAAGGAAAGCCCGTGGTGCTACAGCTGTGGGATACAGCGGGACAAGAAAGGTATGTTTTTCTTAACAGTACATTTCTGAGGCATTTGTACCAAGTAATCATAAATATGCACTCACTTTTAAATCGCAAAGAATACATGTTTCATAATAAATAATACATCTACTATAAGAAAATCATTGAGGTGTGGAATTGTTACCACAAAATACAGCCAGCATTAATAATATACAGGTGCTTTGAGTCCCGTCAGTCTTTCCCTGTTAAGGTAGATGTGGTTGCATTCAGAAGCTGCTCTAAAAAAAGAAAACAATTTATTCGCTGGCATTTCCAAGCTTTCATAAATAGCAGTTTGAAGAAGAGATCAAAAAGAAGCAAGGGACTCAGTGTGTTTGTCACAAACCGTGACGTGGCTGGGAACACTCACTTGCAATATGCATGAGCATACATTTGAAGTATAACGTTTATTGTTGGACAAACATATTTTGTCTAATGACGATGACCCTGGTCTAGCTGAGAGATGTCTGTGAGGAGTTCAAATGTCCCTGACCATATGATGAGGTACACTGTCAATTACATCCGCCTTAACAATACATGTTTTATAATATACAACGCTTAAAAGTTTAAATATATTGTAAATATTTCGATTTTACTGGACATTTTTATTCAAATGTAAAAGTGTAGGACATGTTTCTCAAGCAATTTAAATGAATCGATTAAAAAACGTTTTTATTAATTTCCACTATTCTCCTGAGACTATTCTTAATAGACTCAGGAGAATAGTAAAAAGGAATACATAATTTTTTTCCTTGATGAAAGTAATTTTCTTTTATCAGTAGGCTTTTTCTGTCATGCCTATGTATACGGAACATTGTAGAGCCCTCACACGATACGCACAATTTGTGATGATGTTACTTCTGTCACCCTCACGAGGAGAGGGGACACTGCAGCGAGTATAAACCATACTTTACGAGCTCCTCCAGATGTCTGCTGCGGGTACGCACTGTATCTGCTCTTTGCTAGGAAAGCTAGACATCATTATCTGAGAAGGAGGCATCACTGTCAAAGGTGCAGAGTATAATTTAGTGGTTTATGATGGCCCGAATGTTGGAAAGTGTTGTCAGATACCTTGGCTGTAAGCCAAGACTTTTGATGAGCACTTGTTATTGTAGAGCAGGCACGGAAACTGTAAATCTAAAAGTTACCACAGGCAGCATGACGTCTGAACTTCTGCCAGATGATCTGCTCAAAACCCGACAAGTCTCCCTCAGGCCAGGTTGTAACTTGTTTCTGAACTAGTTTCACACATTTCCGCAGTGTTTAGTTGGGAGGAATTAGCGAAACAGGAATGGTGACTGTGATAAGGTAAAGAGATTGACACTTGCATTGTGTGTTTCATTGAGGTAGTAGTTGTGCAACCACTGTCTTGAAAAATGTGCAGAATGTTTTGAGGAAAGTCTCTGAAAACTCAACTGACAAGTGTCATTAAACTGTCAGAGGCCCACTCCAAAACACCTTAGGGCTGTTCAGTCACAGATTGGTGTTTCTCGCTCTGAGTGGCCTAATTTAAAAAGGTGTCTGTGTCTGATTACATGCTTTCTGATTTTAAAGGTTTCACAGCATCACGAGGCAGATTTTCCACAAAGCCCACGCATTTCTGTTGATGTATGACATCACTTCCTCTGAGACTTTTTCTGCAGTTAGCTACTGGGCAAACTGTATTCAGGTATGTTGTAATACTCGCTTTGTTCATAATGTTTCTTTTTTACAGATGTGGAAACGTTACGTTTTTATTCAAGGCCAGGCATACTGTTAAGTTGTAATACTGCTCTCCTTTTTTTCACACTGATACTTTTCTTCACACTGATAAAAGTGTGAAGTATTTTTTAAAGCCACTCACTTGAAGGCAGAATGTGTTGCCTTAACAAATATCAAAAGAAAGAAAAAATAGAAATCTGACCAGGTATTTGTTGCTACTACCAGAGACATAATTTAAATGTGATACCTAGTCTATAATTAAATCATTATCCGCTTATATATTATATAAATTCAAAATCTTAAATGTTGTCTTAAACTAGAAAATTACAAACATGGTGGATTCTGTATTTAAAACAGCAGCACATACTTACAGGAACAACAAACAATACCCACATTGATGACATCCATGTTAGAAAAATGCCAAATATGCATGAACAATTCTTTGTCTTCCAATATTGATATTTGAAAATGGTGTTCATATCAGTTAGTTATTTATGTGAGAGCAAACTAGTTAAAACTTGGTTTAGTAAAGATTATTTATCGGATTTATAGCAATAAAAGTCAGATTGGTAGTTTGTAGAGAGACTTTTAAGAGTTTAATTGAAATCCAAACAATAATAGATCTAATCTTTGTTTTGCAGGAAGGCGCTGACGAAGACGTGAACATTTTACTTGTGGGCAATAAGAGTGATCGTGCAGAGCGGCAGGTTAAAATTCAGGAGGCGGAGAATCTTGCTAAGGTTTGGATCTGTGGCATTACATTTTCATACACTTTTAGCTCAGATAAAAACAAAATACTGTGGTTGCTTTAATCATTAAACATTCACATTAAAACAGCAGGTTTGCTTTCACAGGAATATAACTTTGAATTTATGGAGTGCAGCGCTGCCACAGGGGAAAATGTGGTTCAGGGTTTGGAAACTGTGGCCAGGTAACACATTTCACTTTCCCGTTTACCACACCTGTATTAAAAACATGTCTTTTAATGTCGATTTCCCTCCATGAAACTGATTGTGTTGTTGCTGACAGGATGTTGAGTGAAAAGCATGGCACGAGAGAGGAAGCCATGGTGTTACACAAAGAGCCCCCGCAGAAAAAATCCTCAGGATGTTGCTGAACAAGATGTGCGTCTGCAGAGAGGAGGGATCCTGCACACAGTGGAAACTCTGGACTGGCTCTTTAGAGGGTTTTTCTGTTTGTCACAACTAAAACATATTTAATGATTTTTTCAGTTGTATTCCAAACTGTATTGATTTATATACATGTTGTGTTTCCTTTTCACAACTATCTTCAGCTGTTTTATTATGTATACCAAGCCTTAAAGTACATTATTGTTTAAGAGGTTAATTGAAGAGTAAACATAAAATCCTGTTGTTGCATAAAATATACTGAAAATATAGCATTTTCAGATAAGCTTATTAATGTTCAATATTTATTTATGTATTACACTGCATAGCTGTTGTGGTATTTCTTTAGAGGCAGCCCAATGAACAGTTGTAATTGATCCAGGAAATACTTATCACATGAACAATTTATTTTAAAAAAAATTTGCTTTTTTATATGATAACTGGTTTAGGTTGCTTTCTTATTTCAAATCATTTCTAACTTAACTACCTGTGTGAGTTGTGATGCTACTGTTAATTATGCAATTGTATTTTTTCCCCCATTTTGGGAATACAAGTTGAAAATCATTTGAAATTAAATTGTTAAAAAAATGTTGTAGGTATTTTGTAACTAATTGTTCTATTATGTGATTTATGCACATTTTGTGACCCTGCAATCAATTAGAAAATGTTTTTGATCTGTGACTTTTTTGTATTGTATTTAACATAACAAAATAATACAATAAAAAATATTTGTAAATCAGATATATTGGCACCTCTATTGTGTATCAGAATTATGCACACATCATTAATAATCCCATGTGTGGAAGCCGAAGTGCAGAAGGAATGGAAATGTAGTAATTACTGAAACATTCTTAAAAAGTGATTGGTGTTTGATTATGAAAACTTGAAAACATTATTTACACCAAAAACAATGTTACAAAAATAAAACAAGACATAAAGTCAATAGAAATTGAAAATTAGCAACCTGTTTCAAGCATTGGTTAATTTTCATTAGTAGCAGCAGCCTTTTCTCCTTCGCACCCTTTGGCGCCATCTGTTGGTGTTTTCTGGTGTTTCACCTTGAACACGTCCCACCTCTCAGGAAGGATATCCTTGTTGAACAGGAATGAAGCCACATAGGAAATCATCACAATGGAGATCAAGGCGGACAGCATGCAAATAGTCTTAAAAGGCCAGTGCTGAATGTAAACCCCGTCCTTCCAAGTGCAACCTGGGAAATGCAGGATGACAGGAAGATTGAACATGGGTTCTCCACACAGAACTCTCATCACAAAAGAAACGACATAGCCTGTAATGGCCCCGTAGCCGTTGGAAACCCTGATGAAGAGGATGCAGATGAGTTGAGGGAGCATTACGGTGTAAGTCAGGTCTGAGCTCAGGATCCAGAACGCCAAGATGCTGCTGTCCAGGTGGGTGAGGGAAGTGCCCACAATCCCTACCACCGCTATGGAGACGCGAATCACCCACTGCAGCTCTCTGTGCGATGCCTGGAGAAGAAGAAAGCAAATCTTAATTTTGTTAAAAATGTTGAATGACCACACTTTTCTCTCCACCTTTTTTTTAGTACCTTATGTCTGATGATCTTGTAGATGTTGGTGGTGAAGATGGAGGTTGCTGCTAACAGGCACGAGTCGGTGGATGACATTGCAGCACCGGCGATGGCTCCCATACCAACAACAAAAATGGTCGTTGGGGTAAGATGCAGAAGGATGATGGGCAACACCATGGCCGCCTCTCCTCGCTCATACGGAGAAAGAGAACCATATGTGGTGGAGTTCCAGTCTGCAACATAAGATAGAGATGTTGTAAAGCTATTGAGAAGGTTCACTTAAGTGTATCTTGGTATGATTTACTATTTAACTAAAGTGACTAAACACTAAAGTATACTTACATTGTATGGCAACATTTTAGGATACACATGTAAATCATAAAGTATTTGCTTAATAGCATGCATATTAGTAGTGTTAGGAAAAATATCACTCGTCACCGGCTTGCGCTTCAATATCAGGATACATGTATTTATTATCCTTGCAAGAATGGAAGTAGTGATCACATACAGAGCTGCATGGGACAAAATAGTTCCCAGACCCTTCACATGTTTATATATAAGAGAGGGTGTTACAGTCACAATATGCAGAATACCGGTTCAAAGCAGTATTCTGTGCTTAGTTCAGATTAGCTAAGGCCTGCGTAAGCAATAAACATGACAGTCATATGTCTATCTCCCTAGGGGCTGTGTCATCATGTTAATCGTAGGAACATAGCTATCGTATGTTCAACACAATGTCTCATGAGCTTCTTCTATGTGATCATAAATCCGGTTACGTACACAGCTACATAGGGCCTTTGTTATCCTGTGCTACTCTGATATTGGAAGAGTACATTCCGTATTTTCCCAACAAGTAGCATTTTAGCTCTTTATTAGTCCTCATAAAACCCTTATTAATGCATCATTCTGCATAACAACATTCTACAAATACTATTAACATATTAAGCAAGAGTTTAATAACATCCCAATAAGCGCATATTGATAGGAAGTAGCTGTTTAAAAGGGGCCCAAATATGCTTTTTTGGGTTCAGTGTGTTACAAAGGTCTTGGTGCATTTAAATGGTCTACATTTCATTTCATTTCAAACCTTTATTTAACCAGATTGGTCCCTTGAGATCATATATCTCTTTTTCAAGGGAGACCTGCAGCAATTAGGTTCCACATGAAACATAAAACAAACATAAAACAATAAAGGACATCATACATTATATTTACAGGATACATTTACATAGTTATCGACATTTACAAGTACCCCATGGTATCAAAAAGCATTTCACTTAGCCTAGCTTTAAAAACATGCAGAGGAATGAGATTGCTCAGTTTCAATTCTTGCTGAAGATTGTTCCAAGCAAGTGGAGCTGCGCACATAAAAGCTGTCTTACCTAAGACAGTCCTTGCTCTTGGCACATCTAACAACACTACATCATGCGATCTCAGACAATAGCTGCTTGCAACTCTCTGTGTTATCAGTGAACAGATGTAATACGGGAGTTTACCCAACAAAGCTTTATAAATAAACGTGTACCAATGACTAAGCCTCAGTACAGTAAGTGATGGCAAACCTGCCTTGGTATACAGTGTACAGTGATGTGTAAGTGCTTTACAATTAGTGACAAATCTCAGTGCACTGTGATAGGCGGCATCTAACTTGTTCAGGCAATGGGCAGGTGCATTCAAAGGCTACAAAGGCTAAAATCTCTCCCCAACACTCTTTATCTTTGTGCAGTTATATTTGTGTGAAGATGTATTGATATTGTGAGTATGCTTGCCAATGTTTACTTGTTATTTCTACCAATAACCAATTCATTTTCAGGGTTCTTTTTCCTGACCCTTTCCCCCGATATTGGTCAATTGCTGCTGAATAATGGTCCCATTCAACACTGCACTGCTGCTGTCCAGTGTGTGAGATTTACCTGTTGAGGCTGCAACAGCACCGATCAGCACAGGTGGAATTCCAATAACGAGGACGACACCTGCCGCTATAAAACAGATCATCCTGGCTGTAGACGTGGAGCTGGAGGAAAGAATCCTTTGGTGGAAGTCTTGAAATGCCAGATTTCCAACACTCTGGAAGACACAATGAGTTATCTTAATTTCTTTGTGCAAATCAACAATGCAGAGTCAGAGTTACTGTCTTTATTTTATTACATGCATTATTCTCTTATGTTAACACACAGCGCCTACATCCTTCATACATACTTCTAATGCACTTATGTCATGTCTATATCTTGATCAAATCAATGACTTTATTATTTGGGCTTAAACTAAGTAAAAAAGGTACGTTCTTAAAGAGTGCTGCTAGACATTATTTAAAACATAAAAACTACTAAAATACTTTGCTTTGAAAAATAATATCTATCTGATGGTTTTTCAAATTCTCTTTATTTTATGTAGCTCATTTATAACTCCAGAATGTATGACTAAGTACATATATAATGTATATATACCTTACCATTGCTAGGAAATTATCAATCCATCTCCACACGTCGTCAGGTTCAATGTGGCCAATCCAGGAGGCCTGAGAGGTGTTGTTGAAAGCTGTTTTAGTGATGTCAGTATAAACATCACTAGCCAGAACAAAGGGGGTACACAGCCACTGTGAAAAGAGGAAATTATACAGTAAAACCTTGAAGAGAAAAACATTCATTGTATTGGAAAGAACTGCTGTGTTAGTGTTCAACTCACCAAGCTACAAAATACCAATGACAGCTGGACGACATCGGTGAAAATAACGGAATAGAGACCTCCAAGAAGAGTGTAGGTGATGGCTACTGCAGCGGAGATCCAGATGCAAAGACTTAAAGGTAGATCGGAGAAAATGCTAACAGTGACCCCTGTTGGAGGCACACAAAACACACTCCTTTAAACATTAAAGGTCCCCTTTTATACTCTTTTTCATCAATATATTATAGGCCTCGGATATATACAAAACATGTATCTGAAGTGTTTGGCTTGAAATATCAAGGGATCATGCATTGTAGCATCCCATAATCCCCTCTGTTTCAGCCCTGTTTCAAAAGTGATTCTGTATCTGTAGCTTTAAATGAAAATAAGGAGCCACTCCCAACGCCCCTCTGAGAGATGTTTGGTTTGAAAAAACTGAATGGTGCTCTAGGAGGAGATTCAGGTGATAAGGTGGGCGGGTGTTACTGTACCTTGGTTGGTTATTGGCCAATGGATGCACAACTCATTCTTTTCACCAAACATTGTGACATCATAAAGTGGCCAAAATCTTATCAGCTCATTTTCAGACAGGTTTTTATAAAAATGTATCAGGACAAAAAGAGAGAGAATAGTTTTTTCCTGAAACTTTCAGAATCTCTTACGGTACGTCCACACGGCGGCGTGCGTTGAAGCTTGCCGGCGGGCGTGTCTGAAGCACGACCAACAACCAATCACATGAATCTCCCGCCCCGGACACACAAGCACGCGGTTTGATTGGCTAGAGCTTGTACTGGCATATGATTTGATTGGCCGACGCTTCCGTCGAAGCTTCAAAAGTAGAACATTGCTCTACTTTTGAAGCGAGCAACGCGAAGCGACGCGACCACAATGCAGTTCGGCAAAGCGTGACATCACCCCATTCAAAGTGAATGGGCAGAAGCGCTGAAGCTTCAACGCACGCCGCCGTGTGGACGGGCCGTTAACACAGTGTGTATGTATAAATGCATGAAAAATGTGATTTTGTATAATAGGTGACCTTCACATTTGACAACACTTGATTAGAACCTTTGGATATAAATGTGTTCATGTTACCCAAGGAGATCAATGTGACTGGAACCCACATCAATTCACTGATGAAAGGAATAATGGCAAGAACTGCGGTCAGAGTTTTCCCATACTTCCTCTGAAATGGATCCATCATGGTGATGTAGTTATTTTCCCGCATTGGCTTTGCAAAGAACAGTCCACCTTTAAAAAGACACAGCAAGCATAGTGGTGCAAACAGTTATCATTTAGTTCAAGAATCTTGCTTTTAGTATGTTGTGCCTGATGCTTCTTTGTCTTTATTTTTTTGTGGAAGAAGTTCCTTTACATTAAAGGTGGGGTAGGTAAGTTTGAGAAACCGGCTCGAGATACACTTTTTGTTATATTCCAAGGAATGCTCTTAACATCTCGATAGCAATGAATATCTTAAGTGCTTTGACAAAAAATCCATAAAAAAATGTCATCTGTGGAAGCCGTGGTACTGGATGGCCTACCTGCCTGTCAGCCTTCCATCTGTGCACAAGCTTATCTTGTGCCCTCATTGGTCATGTGCGCGTTTGTGTGTGTCGGAGGAGGGGCCCTATAAGGAAGTGGCAGATTTTCTCCGGTTGTGTATTTTCAAATTCTAGCGATCTCGAGCCGGTTTCTCAAACTTACTGGTACTTACATACTTTGGTCTGAAATACTTAATTACAAGTAAATGTCCTGAATTCAAAATGTTACTTAAGTAGAAGTATAGAAGTATTGCCACTTAAATGTACTTAAAGTATCAAATGGAAAAGTACCCATCATGAACCATGGCTGTTTTGAAAGTATGATATTATTATGGAATATTAAATGAGTCCTTCCTTTATTGCTTACAAAAACATGTAAGAACATTTACATTTAGGAGTTTGTTAATATTAAGACCATTTTAGGTTTTTCTGTATTGCATAATACAGTATCTTGAGTAAGGCCAAGGTTAAGATATTTTAGAAAAGCCATCAGACCCATAGTCTTTTTTATAAGCTCTTGAATTGGGGATTTGAATGATATTTTTAAGATCTTACCAATAATAAAGGAAACTGACATTTGCAGAGGAATAAGAGCCCAGATGAGTCCCTTTGTGGGGTCATAAACCGACTCTGCAACTCCAATGATAAAGGCACCTCCAACCCAAGTAGCTGCAGTAGGGAATACACATCACAGACATGCAGAACTTCCATACATTTGGGTAATCTATTCATGAAGATCTAGTTTGAATAGTGAATTATGTTTCTGCTCTTTCAATACTCACCCGTCATTGTGAAGACTCCCATTGCCAAGCCTACCTTCCGGTTAGCCAGAAAAGAAACTTCCAGCTGTCCACTGTGTGTGTTTTTCTCCATCTTCTTTGATTTAATGGATGCCCAGATACCGATTCCCAACACCAGAAGGTAGAAGAGGAACATCATTATCAGGCCTGGTATATGGACGGCCATGGTGGAGGGTTTTCTGGTGGCGACAAACTCAAGGAAAGCGCACGAGGGTTATCAAGACATGCCGAGCTGAAGACAAGGAATGAAGGGATGCATGCAGTAAATTAAACAGAGAACTGTAATGGGATATGATACATTTAAAAAGTCACAGGCAGCTATAGTCAAGGTCATCGTTGACGTCTTGTACTAAACCTCCCTTTTACAGTCAAGACCAGATAGAAAAAGGTAATTTAAGATTAAAATGTGTGGAACCAGAACAACTCAAACCCAACTGCCAATGCCAAAAACTACAGATGATAATTGTCTTGATTTTTGGAGATAGGTTTTCCTCTTATTATGCAGATAAATTAAAAATGTTATGCAAGTACATGCACCCTTTCTGGCATACAAAAGTGTCCTTGAAATTCTTCTGTGATGACTCAATGTAGTCATCTTGTCTTAATTCAAATTAGGGCGGTGGACTTTCTGACGTCTGTGAAATTCAGTTGCTACTTCCAAAATCGTCCTTCTATGTGTCAAACACACGGAACAAATGAGATAGGGTCAGTTATAAATCTGTACAACAGAGGCTTTAGACACAAAGCTAAAAAACAATGCCATGAAAAAAATGCTCATTTAATTTCTTGTTGTTTTCTTTTACATTATTTCGAATTTAAAAACAGCAATGTGTTTCAAACTCTTTTACAAAAAAGATACTGTATAGGAAAAAAGTAAAAGTAAACGAAGAATTTATAAATTCCTACATGTCTATTCCTTCCGCACTTGTTATGTGAAATAAAGTAGAAAAAGTCACAGATCAAATTTGTTTTCAATGGGTGCAGGGTCACAAAACTTGCATCATTCATAATAGAAGGATTTTCAAGGGGAATTAGGAGGGGTACTTAATTACTGACCTTTTTTTATCAATTAAGATTTGTTTGAAAATGTTTTCAAATTTTCGACTGAATTTTATTGGAAATTGCGCTTATTAACACATTCATATTATATGATATAACTGTACATATTTAAAAAGTAAGATATAAGAGAAGCACAAATTTTATGTGTGGGCCATATTCCATTATACCTTTCGAATTTGCTGTGGGCCAATAAAAAATGGACCACGGGCCGCAGTTGGCTTCCAGGCCGTAGTTTGGACACCCCTGCTGTAGCCTAATCAAGCCACTTTATTTTCAATGACAAAACTGAAACGTTGACCATGTATTATGTCAACACATTTCACCTGTTGAAATCTGTTGACACAATACATTGAATTAAAGTCAAGGTTTCAGTTTTTTCAGTGTATTTGCCTTCACTAAGTCATGGATACGAATAGAGCATCAGCTTTAATTATGTATATTATATATACATTTAAAAATAAAACATTTAAATACTCAAGTAAAGTACAACTACCTCAAAAGTGTACTTAAGTACAGTACTTGAGTAAATGTACTTATTTTACCCCACTTGATTGCCAATGGTAAAGATGGTAGAGATAGTATGCTGTGCTACACATGTTGTGAAGGAAACTAGAGAGAAACCCGTCCTAACAGCCTCTGTGTTAAGCTCTCAGTGGTTTGAAGTTGAGGTTTTCACCTGCGTCCGTTTGTACTTTCAGATTCTTGCTTAGTTTCACTGTTCTTTGTTTGTTTCCCACGGCAAACTATGGGAGTCGTGTTTAGTTCATGGTTAGGATACTGATCATAAAAACCCAGTACTTCCTGATTTACAGCCAATTTACCACTTGAAGTTACAAATAGGTTATTGATATTAACAAATAAGCATCCACTAAAATTAGGATTACTTTTATACATTTTTACTTTTTGTCACGTATTACAGTGTTAAGCAACTTGCCTGAGTTTCTTCATCGTTGTAGCTGTAATAATATAACAGTGTTATTTAATGATTACATTAAGGTTATGGATGATTGATTTTATGTGTACATACAACCTGTTTACATACACTTTGTTGGCAGCATTGCATTAGGCACAGCTTCCAGATAACCAAAAATACATGTCATGCCTCTATAATTAAAAACAGATGTTGTAAAATCATTATTTGATTATTTTGTAGTGTTTTTGTTTCTCCCTAAAATGTGCATGGCTTAATATCTTAAATCAATGTGCTTATGTCATGCCTCATGCATAATAAAATCCCCAGAATGAGGACCGCATGTTCACGAAGTTCATTTGTGTCCTCAGGATACATTTTGTGTTTCCAGGCTGACAATGACAACACTGTTCCTGCAGGAACAACAAGTCCTTCTTTGGTTTGAAGAACATGCCAACAATGGCGCCACTGCAATAACCTCATAACCCAAAAGAGCGTTTTTGTAGGTAACAAATGCTGAGCCAGCACCAAATCCGATATTAGTAATTGGTTTTGACTTCACTGGTTACAGGACCCTCCAGGAGAATACATCTTGTTGCTGCCATTTAATCAGATAATTCACTTTTAGACTGGAACATTTAAACCTTGTAACTTGCAGTAATCAGAAGACACGACAGCCCTACTTTCCTTCTTTTCACCAGGAAGTTATTCAGAATATATTCAAAATAATTTAATTTAAATACATTTAATTTAAAGAACAATATAGTTTGGTACTAATTACATGCAGACATGTAGGCGTTCAATTAGAAATATTCCATGAATTGCTTCTGCAAGTAACAGACCTTTGATTGCACAGCAGGTCAGCTTAACAAGCTAAATATGTAACTGTATAAGAACAGAAATGAAGAATACTATAATTATAATTTAATTTCAACTTTTTTCAAGAAAACTTATACCTATTTTGATTTTATTTAATAAAAATAAGAAAATCCAGTAAACCACCTAAATGTTATGGGGAGGTTATGGACAAAAACAAATGCCACATGTAGATTTTGTATTTTAAACCGGCCTAGTGAACAGTTAAAGTTGCTATTGGGGTCATCATTTCTTTCTCCTTTACTACAGATGAAATATTGTTGACATTGGGAAAGCCGGCTGTTAGTTGCCTGTTGATTTTACTTTGTTTTTCTGAGACACTCAACCACAGCAGGAGGTTGTTCAAAATTAGATCAGGATATGACCAGGTTGTGTCAACATTTGCCATAGGCTGATTTAAAATAATGTTTTCTAAAGGAATGACATTGTGTTCTGATCACGAGTGTCTTTTTAACTTCACTTGTTATAAAAATGCATATTTTCATGGCACCAACGACTTTGTAAAAATACAAAGTTGTATATCTCGTCTACAGACATAAGCTCAAGTTATCAAACAATATCATAACCGAACAAAATATTTTAAAAATGTTAGTCAAATAATTATTTTTATTATTTATTTCATGACAAAAATAAAGCAAATGCAATTTGGGAATAACTTACACTTAACAATGGTGAAAATATTAGACAGTTCATATTTGAGATCCAGCAAGTGTGTCTGTAGATGGATGGACATTTGAATGTTAAACAAAAGCATAGTGTAATGAGTTATTATGTCCAATTTACTACTTCTTTTAGGAACCAGGATCTGTGGTCTTTCATATCTCTTTCCTACTGAAGGCTGAAGGCCAGGCTCATAGAGTCACAGTGAAGCAGTTATTTGACTTGCATAACCTGCTGCTCACAGCAACAGGTTATTTTTTCTTCTACTGTTGCTCCCTCACTGGTTTCATTTGGTTGACTGTCGTACTCTCTTCTGATAGTTGCAACGGCGAGTCCTTGGTCTGTGTTTTTGATTTTTTTTTTAGAGGAGCGTTTTTTCCCGATGGCCTGTATAACATCAGAAGCCGCCCAGTGGTGCCGGGTCAGCGCATCCAGCAGGGTGAAGGAGCCGTCTCTGGTCCGCCTAACTCCCCTACACACTGCTGTGCTGCGCAGCTCCAGTCCTATCTCATGCACAACTTTGCGCAAATATTTCTGAGTTTCATTAATACACTGCACCTCTGTAAGAACAGGGAAAACTATTAGTTAGTATTTAAATTATTTGCATATTTACAATTGTGAAATTAGATTTGTTGTGTCAAATTAAATGGCATTTACCTAAAGTGAAGTTGGGGGGCTCGAAGTGAATGCAGCGTAAGCCTGTCAGAATAGGCAGCGATTTCCCATCTGGACCAAGTAAACCTTGCACAGCCATCTCATAGGCTTCCTGCGAACGCATGTCTACGTTTGAATACAATAACAAGGCCTTTTGATTGGCTCCCTGTAGCATCGCCAAGACTCTTTCCAGCTTATCCTTTGTGATGTGACCTGTTGAAAGCAACAATATTTTAGAGTCAGATATAGTCAAACGCACAATAATTGATGCAATCACCTTTAGTTTTGTTTGGCCAGTGATTAAAACATGACATCTCCTACATTCAAAAGGTGGAAATTACACAAAGGAAAGGCCACTATATAATGCTCGAAATATATCAACTGGTAATCATAAAATGCTTCACAGTAACATACTACAGGGCGATTGGCTGATGGAAAATTGTATTCAACACCTTCTCACTTGTAATGATCTTAAACTATATCTCGGTATGTAACGTACATTTACTATTGAAACTGAAACCGTACAGGGAAAATTCAGTTATCCTACCGTATGTTGATCTTTCCACAATCCTGCCTGTGTGAGAGAAATCATCTGTTGCAGTCCCAAATTCCCCCTCCAACGTGTAATCCTGAAACACATCAGACAACATTAAACCTGTGTATATAGTATCTGTATTGCATCTGATGTAAAACCAGCAGAAATGATAAATTACCCTTGTGACTCGTGTATTGAAGAGATTATTCAGGGCCTTGTTTCCATTACCAACAGCAAGAACTGAAGTTAAAAAAAGGAAGGAATACTTTGAGAGATGTCATATATTAAATATAACATGATCTGAAACAGATTAAATCATACCCAGAACGCCAGAAGAGGATGTATCCAGGCGATGTCCTACTCCAACTTTTATATTCTGAAATTCAGGTCCAATCACTAACACACACAGAAGAAACACATTTACTCAAGTCACTAATGAGCCATCAGGCCAGTCTCTATGGTTTGTTTTTAAATGAACAGGGGGGAATGGGTAAAATGTGATGACAAAAATGACATCTCCCTGTTGAGTTACAGACTTTATTCGGACCAGCATTAAGGTAGGAAAGCAGATTATAATCAGAAACCCAGCTCCCTAGCAGAAGATACTTTTAACCAAGTCGTGATTTATACTAAAATCAAATTAAGATTAGTGAGTAAGTAAACTACAAAGGCTGAGTTTGTAAATATAAACACAGTGTTTTTTGGGAGCACTGTAGTGAGAAATATAAATTATTTGAGAGCAGACAGCATTAAAGGTAGGGTAGGTAAGTTTGAGAAACCGGCTCGAGATCGCTAGAATTTGAAAATACACAACCGGAGAAAATCTGCCACTTCCTTACAGAGCCCCTCCTCCAACACACACGAACGTGCACATGACCAATGAGGGCACGAGATAAGTGTGTGCACAGATGGAAGGCTGACAGGCAGGTAGGCCATCCAGTTATTTTAGCCGGGCCGGCTAAAATGATTGGTCGTACTTTTTACAGTACTACGGCTTCCACATATGACATTTTTTTATGGATTTTTTGTCAAAGCACTTAAGATATTCATTGCTATCGGGATGTTAAGAGCATTCCATGGAATATAACAGAAAGTGTATCTCGAGCCGGTTTCTCAAACTTACCTACCCTACCTTTAACCTATAATTAACCTATAATACTTGTGTGTTGATTTGAATTAACCCAGTTGACCCGGGAGGTCAAGTGGACACACGTACCCAGAGGATGCTTGGACAGTACTGGCACAGAGACTGCAGACAGGGTGAGTCCTTTGGGTGCTTCAGCCTCACTGACTGGGAGTGCCAAGAAGCGCACCTCCGTAGGAAGTGGCTGGGACGGTGTAGCATTCAATCCTAGAGAGAGAGTTGAGAGACAATACAAAAAGACAACAGCTTAAAAAAGTGAAAAAAGCTCAATTGAATACCAATTAAAAGTGTATCTCGAGCCGGTTTCTCAAACTTACCTACCCTACCCAGGGTTCTTACACCTTTTCCAAAGTCAAATTCAAGCACTTTAAGCATTTTCAAGGTGCATTTTCAAGCTTTTCAAGCATCTTACAGCTGTTGTAAATTACATATTTATATACACATACTTATACTCAAATGATTATTTCCCTACCTCACATTAAATCAGATGTTCTTTATGCTATAAACAACCAAATGTGTGTTTCATAATAGCATTCTACACGAGGATGAAAAATTAAAGAAAAGAAACCTAGTTTAATATTTCAAAATGTGTGACCCATCTGTACGTAGACTGGGCATCCCATATAACCTGGCTGAGCCAATATAAAACAGTCAGCCAAATAACTTTTCAATACATTATTGATTACTATTTTTGAGGTACTTTTAGGTTGGCAGTAAACACAAGTCAGAGGTAAATGGTGTACTTTTCCTCCAGTACATGTATTTAATACCTTTAGTTACTTCACAGATGTGGATGAATGATGTGAAATATAATCAAGTGTTAAATCAGACTTTAGTTCCTCCTGGAGTAAATTCACAAGCTACCCTGCAGTATACAAAGTCATTCAAACTAGCTGCACCTTTACCAGCTTTGAGAACACTTTAATGATCAATCATTATAAAACATATCATATATAATATTTAGGGATGCTCCGATCGCCAATTTTGGGGCCGATCGCCGGAATCAGTATCGGCCGATACCGATCCGATCGAGTGGGCACTGATCCAGTAATGAGTGACCCAACAGTGAAGAATAAATATATTTATAACTAGTTTAGCTTGTTCCAGAGGTAGATAAAATAGCTAAGTGTGTTAGGTCTAACTCTTAGTGTGTGTTTCGCTCCGCTCACCGGTCCGTCACAGCGGGTGGAGCTGCAGGACTTCTGCTTCACACACACGTTGCATACCGCTATTTTATTGTCATTTTCGGACACTTAAAATACTGCCAGACTAGTGAAGCCATTTTGGCGAGCTTGTTTTGCCGCGCACAGAGAAAAGTGTCATGTATTTTACATGCAACGATAGCCTAATCTAAAATGCTCTACTACGGCGTACCTTTCGTGTGGTGTGTGGCTCGTCAGCGCAGACTCTCGCATCGTTATTGTTGCACACTTTGCAGGAGGCTACTCTTGGGCTTCGCTTGACCCTCGTCTTAGCCATGGCTTGTATTTGTCTTCTGCTAGCCAACGCTCGTTGAAACGGCAACCTCCTGGCATACTGTCATCTATCACTCTCATCAGAATGCCCAGGTCACACACGTAACAAAAACACTTGCCGGTCACGCGCATTGCGCGGGAAGGCCGGAGCGGAGCTGTTTTATGTAAAAGCGAAGTAATTAAGCGCGCTCCGACTTCTTTATTTTCTTTTAATCTAAAAAGCAAAGTAAAGCATTTACAATTTCAAGCACTTTATCCCAAATTCAAGCACCATTCCCAAAATTCAAGCACTTTTCAAACCTTGAAAACACCTCGTACAATTTCAAGCATTTTCAAGGATTTCCAGCACCCGTACGCACCCTGCCTACCTTTAACCTATAATTAACCTATAATACTTGTGTGTTGATTTGAATTAACCCAGTTGACCCGGGAGGTCAAGTGGACACACGTACCCAGAGGATGCTTGGACAGTACTGGCACAGAGGCTGCAGACAGGGCGAGTCCTTTGGGTGCTTCAGCCTCACTGACTGGGAGTGCCAAGAAGCGCACCTCCGTAGGAAGTGGCTGGGACGGTGTAGCATTCAATCCTAGAGAGAGAGAGTTGAGAGACAATACAAAAAGACAACAGCTTAAAAAAGTGAAAAAAGCTCAATTGAATACCAATTAAAATCATTGGTCAATGAAGTACAAGATGTTTCTCAAGAGTTCAGAAGTTTGTAAAGCTTGTTTTGTTTATACATGATTTAAAGACAACAAAAAAACATGTTTTTATGAGAAACTGAAATGCAGTTGGCCTATATAAAACATCAAGTTATCTACTTCATTGTTGTTAGACTCTAAATTCAAAAATAACAACAAACTTTCTGTAATAGGGACCAAGAAATTACAGTTCTGCCAGATTCAAAATCATTTTGAGTTCAAAAGGAACGAGTAGACACACAATAAATGAGAAAAGGACTTTCCCATGAGAGTAAAGCTGAGAGAAAAGTGTCCAATCATCTCTGTTGGTCAAGGTTAAAGACAAGGCTGAGTCACTTGTTGTTAATTGTTCATCTGTAATAAACTGTATCATTCCTAACAGCAGACATATACAATTGTTAGTGTGTTTGATGGACTACGTTTTTCAGGATGCGTTATCCTCACCTTTTAGAAGACTTGTCTCGATGCTATCACGTACTTGTTTCCAGTGGACACCAGCGGGTTTGTAAACACAAAACAAACCCTCTATTTTCCGAAACATCCGAATAGCTGGAGTTGCCATTATGTTAATAACATCAGGTTATCCCGGTCTCTAAAGATATAGAACTAGGGTAACCTTGAGGCTTTTTCACGGATAAAAGTAGTTACTTTTCGGTTGATTTTGCTCCATTTGACTTTACTACATGCATTGCATGGTAACCTTAGCGCATGCGTAGATGTCTTTCAAATGTATTACTTATGTTTAGTTAGCTCTCTCTGAACACACTGCCCCCTGCGGTACTGGAGGTATAACTGGCAGAACTGTACGACAAGCTGACGACAAGCCGTGTGAAATGAAAACACCAGGATAAATAATGAACGGCTTTATATTGAGTAGGAGGAAATAGGAAAGGCAGAATATAGTTGACTATTTTTTGGGAAGGTTGATTGAAAGTTATACAAAGGAATTGACTTCGAAGGAGCCATAACTCAAGCCAATGGCAGAAGCTATCTGCTGTATATTTTACAGTGAGACTTTTTGGTTCAACGCTTACCTTACCACACACACACACACACACACACACACACACACACACACACACACACACACACACACACACACACACACACACACACACACACACACACACACACACACACACACACACACAGCTGAATAACCATGATGTTAATGTAGTCAAATGCATCTCCAACAACATGTATGTTTTATGGTGGACTATTTATACTAAATGTCATTGATCCATTTGATATTCATCACTATATTTAATTAAAACCCCAAGATGTCAACCCCAGCGTGGCATTAGGGGTAAAGTCAAGGAGTATCATTACCTGGGGACTGTCTGAAGCTGAGTTTCCTTGCAATATATTGGATTATGACGGATAATTGATTGGACCTGCGGGGTACAGACCAGGGGGACAGTGACACTTTTGGCCCGTTCACCTGCAAAACGTTACATAAAGGGACATTTAGCAACCAGAACAGGGGTCAAAATGAGAATAATTATTAAAAAAAATCAAATAAACTCAAAACAACTTCAGAAAGAAACAAAAAAATGTCAAACAGGGACTTAAAGGTGGGGTAGGTAAGTTTGAGAAACCGGCTCGAGATACACTTTTTGTTATATTCCATGGAATGCTCTTAATATCCCGATAGCAATGAATATCTTAAGTGCTTTGACAAAAAATCCATAAAAAAATCTGTGGAAGCCGTAGTACTGTAAAAAGCAGTACTACGGCCCGGCTAAAATAACTGGATGGCCTACCAGCCTGTCAGCCTTCCATCTGTGCACAAACTTATCTCGTGCCCTCATTGGTCATGTGCGCGTTCGTGTGTGTTGGAGGAGGGGCTCTGTAAGGAAGTGGCAGATTTTCTCCGGTTGTGTATTTTCAAATTCTAGCGCACTCGAGCTGGTTTCTCCGAAATGACCTACCCCACCTTTAATACATAAATCAAAAGCATAGAATGTATTTTTGTTTTAAAAAATCAGGTGTCTACCTACTGCATTCAAAAATAAATGTTTTTAAAGTAAAGGAGAATTAAAGTAGCCTAAATATGAACAATGAAGACAATTATTTCAGTACGTCGACCTATAATATATCGATCTTTATTTCTAAATGTATTGTACATTTGTGATTATCTCAATTTTCTAACAATGATCTGTCACATGTAATCCGATACTCCATAGCTTGTGTCATATTCCTCTACCGTGGCCTTGTGTCACATTTTTTATTAACATGCAAGTAAACTTTGTATCTTCTTTTATCTGAAGGAAAAACAGCTGAGGTCAAAGAGACCCTGCAGTCCATGCAGAAGGACAGACTCTCAGTTGGACACTGGGTTGGAAAGTACCAGCAGAACCAGAAGAAGAAGTGGGAGAAACGCCGGCTGAAAGCAGAGGCTCAACACACCAAATACATCGCCTTCAAGAGGCATGGCCCCCAGCAATCTCTGCTCGATCAACTGTTGGATTGGTCCGTCTGCTAAAAACAGCAGCTTTAAATCCAGATCTTACAGATTTGTTTTATTGTTATTGTTATTTACCTTGTTTCTTTGTTTTCTTTATTGTTTTTTCTTTAGTAAAAATGCATTGAACAATAAAAGTGTCTACAAAAACTGGCGTGCAGAGGAAAAAGTGGAGACTGAGCATGTCACTGATAACTCCAACTATCTCCTCCTTCCTTCGAAACCAAACCGAAAATCTGATGGTATGTATCATCAGGGTTGGGAGGGTTAATTAAAAATGTAATCCGTTACAATAACTAGTTACACATCCTTAATCTGAGTATCAAAATACAAAAGTAATTTAACCTGATTACTTTCCGTTACTTTTGGATTACGTCAATATGAAGTGCAATGCAAATAAAAACAAGAGAAAATAAACAACAATAAGATGATTTTTACTTAATTGTATGTAACAATGTAACCTTAGAAAAGAGAAACCAAGATATTTCATATAGAAAATGTAGTAACAGTTAGGGTTCACAAATGCTGTTAATGCTTAATACATAAATCAAAAGCATAGAATGTATTTTTGTTTAAAAAAATCAGGTGTCTACCTACTGCATTCAAAAATAAATGTTTTTAAAATAAAGGAGAATTAAAGTAGCCTAAATATGAACAATGAAGACAATTATTTCAGTACGTCGACCAATAATATATCGATCTTTATTTCTAAATGTATTGTACATTTGTGATCCTGTTTGTTATCTCAATTTTCTAACAATAATCTGTCACATGTAATCCGATACTCCATAGTTTGTGTCATATTCCTACTGTGGCCTTGTGTCACATTTTTTATTAACATGCAAGTAAACTTTGTATCTTCTTTTATCTGAAGGAAAAACAGCTGAGGTCAAAGAGACCCTTCAGTCCATGCAGAAGGACAGACTCTCAGTTGGACACTGGGTTGGAAAGTACCAGCAGAACCATGAGAAGAAGCGGGAGAAACGCCGGCTGAAAGCAGACGCTCAACGCGAAGAATACATCGCCTTCAAGAGCCATGGCCCCCAGCAATCTCTGCTCGATGAACTGTTGGACTGGTCCGTCTGCTAAAAACAGCAGCTTTAAATCCAGATCCCACAGATTTCATTTTATTGTTATTTACCTTGTTTCTTTATTGTTTTTTCTTAAGTATAAAAGTTTTCATTTGAAAAGATCAGGTTGTTCTGTCCACTCTCTTGCATAAATGTTGGTTAAGATGTATGGAAATATACTGAGGTGCAGTGGTGATAAGAAACTAAGTACAATTTTGAGGTACTTTACTTGAGCATTTCCATTTTATGCTGCTTTGTAATTCTACTCCACTATTAATTCAGAGGTAAATATGGTATATACTCTAATACATTTATGTAGTACCTTTAAATAATTTGCATATATAGCTTAAAGGGGACCTATCATGCAAAATGCACTTTTGTACGTCTTTTATACATGAATATGTGTCCCCGTTGTTCCAGGGAACTCACCAAGTGTCAGAAAACACAACCCTCTCTATTTTCCTCCATACCCAAATCTCTAAAAAAGGGGCTGCAACGGATCTGATAAAAACTGATCCAGATTTGAACACTGTCCTGACGTCAGGACAGTGGCGCTACGGCTATTGGGCCAACTCCACCAATCAGGAGGAGACAGCCACGGCCATTGCCGTTCGAAAGCGCTGGAGACGCTGTAGTACATATGCCAGGCCTGTAGATGGTGCTGTTCTCACTGAATCTGCCCTTGCTAAAACAGATCTAAAAAATGTCAAATTGAGCAAAATGAGGCATGGCTAAAATGCATGATATGTTTGGTATTTTGAAAAAAAAAAAGTATAAATATACCTTATATAGGTATGGTCCTACACTATATTATTCAAATATAGCATGATAGGTCCACTTTAATGATAAACAATAAGATCAACACTTTAGATACACCGTTCTTTTTTCTCCTGGGGAAAGATACCGAAGTTGGGCCGTCATTGTTCCATCAATTGATCAAACATTCCACATGTACATAACAAATAAACACATATGATAATGTGACGGTACACATTAATTAACTTTCTTATTTTTAGACACACACACTTTCTTAGATATTAGCTTACTAGCATTATGCTTATATGACATTTCTAAGACACACAAGGTATCCATCCATCCATCCATCTTTTAACACGTATCCGGAGTCGGGTCACGGAGATAGCATTTCCAGCAAATGGCCCCAAATGTAAATTTCCATCGTCTCATCAACCAGCTCTGACTGGGGGGTTCCAAGGCATTCCCAGGCCAGCGTGGAGATATGAGATATAATCCCTCCAACTGGTCCTGGGTCTGCCCCTTGGTCTCCTACCAGCTGGACGTGCCTGGATCACCACCCTAGGGAGGCGGCCTACAAGGGGCCCGAACCACCTCAACTAGCATAGACCTATAACAAATGAGCTGCAGTTATAAATTATCATGTAACTTAAACCATTACAAATAAGTATAGGTGAAGTCTGGCGGTATGAATTGACCTCCCAGTTGGTATGACTGGTACAAAGCAAACTGAGCTGAAGTTAGAGTACATGTCAAACATGATGTTTCCTTAAGTTTAAGGTCAGAAAGAATCAAATAAGTGTTGTTAAATATGGCTATTATCATACAGTAACCGTGACCCCACAACAACAGGAGACCTGACAGAAATGTGTGAGAGTACTTATTTTAGGTAAATGTAAAATGTAGTTGTAGTATTAATCCAGTAGGCTAGAGGCCGGTAATGCAACGACTGGATGCCAACCGCCTCTAAAAACCAAGAAGAAGAAGCTCCTGTAAAAAAATAAAAACACCGCAGAAGAAGACGGGCTGCTGCTTACCGTAGCTCAGTGTTGACAACAGTGGCAAAGTGTTGACTACGGTACGTTTAAACTGTCACAACTTGTGTACTGTGTTTGCTGGAGTATCTTTCTTACATAGCTTCGTGTATTAACTTAAGCCTGAAGATAAATGAGTATGATACTAAATCAACGAGTGTAGTGTTAGCTAACAGCCTGCAAGAACATATTGCGCAGCTAGGTAGCGTTATGGTAGTTTCGACGTTACATAGCATAGGTCATGACAGTTTTAGATTAGCTATTTATTAGCGACATCCCCTTTTAATTGGTCCTTTAATTCTTATTGTTTGTTTATATTGTTTTATTTATTTTATAGGTTTTGATTTATATTGTTTAGTGTATTTATTTATCGTATTATCATACTGATATTCTGTACAAACTGTGAA